AAAGAAACCAGGAAGCATCAGCCCCACTGAGGGAGCAAATCTGAGAATTCCTTTCCCGTACTCCACCTCAGCATTTATGTGCATGATTTAGAGCTGTTTAGACCAAAATGAAAACCCACTAGAAATTATGACTGTCTACACCAATCAAAGTGTATTCCTCAGAAATTTTACCCTAAGAGGAATTTCAGTGTAAAATAGAGTTGTAATTAGAACCATAAGCAGAATGATAAAAACAGTAAGCCAGACATGAAGCAGAGGAAAAATAAAGGTGCTAAATTATGAGCAAGCAGAAACTTTGAAGAAGCAAAAAGTATAGCATAAAGTGGTAGTGAGACAGGAGAAAAATCATTGGGAGCACAGCAGAAAATGAAAGAAATAAGGGTCCACAAGCACCCTATGTTCCAGAGCAGCCTTGAGTACTAAATGGTTCTGCCTTCCAGCATAGACTGCATGCATTGTGCCTCGGCTCTCCACAGTCCACACTACTTTTGCAAAACCCAGCCACTCTGTGTGAAACCCCTTTCCCTCCCTGCCACACAGGTAACCTGATGATAAATCACTAAGATAACCTGATGGTTTTACAGCAAAACTTTGTATTTACTCTATTTCTTTTATTTTTGTTTGTTTGTTCGTTTCCAGTACCAGGAATCAAACTTACGACCTTGCACTTGCCAGGCAGGCGCTGTGCCGCTGAGCTAAATCCCCAGCCCCTATCCCCCAAACTCCTACTCTATTTCTTAATGGCTTCCATTTTTCCATCCACATTAATTACCAATCTCAAATGTGTGACAGCCTTAGTTTTTGTGCCAATGAAGAGTACAGAAGTGCTGAAAAGATTAATAAAAGAAAGGGGATAAAGTAGGAAATATGAATGATGGGGCTTCAGGGTTTGAATTGTAGGAGACCAGTGGGTTTTGCAGTAGATTTATGGAGATGGCTTGTATTATATTATCCTTAGCTGACTTTATTTTCACAGCTAATTAACCCTTAAGTGTTAGTACAAGATGCCCGAACCCAAGGATAGTAAAGATTTTAAATGTATCTCGTTTTCCTGAATTTGAGTTCTGACAGTGAATGAGGCATACAAAATCTTTCTAGTTTCTGTCAGATCTCTAGGTCTGTCAGCAATCAATCAACTGTATAAACCACTGATTGTTTCTTCAATCTATTTTTATTATCATCATGAGTGATATTCTTCACAGAGAGGCAGTAAACTGGTTCACAGATCTAGTTTTCAATGTGATGAAACTGAATGTTTTATTAAAATACATTTGTGCATAGATTCATTTGTAAACTATGTAAATCTCTTCCTCTGCTTCTTTCCTTTAATACCATTGATTCTTTCCTTCTTTCTTGAGTTGAGTGAAGTGGAGTGGGTTGAAGTAGGGAAAAAAGCAGTTAACTCACTCTTATTAATCAATCTTAATAATAATCTACCTGGTGGATTGTGAACCACCTGGTAAAGTGAACACCTTTCTCATTATAGGCACATTCCACACAATCAAAAGGAACTGAAAAAAATCAGAAAGGAAGCAAGATACTGAGACATTGCCAAGTCAGTGGTAGAGTGGAGATGGAACAACAAACCTGCTGTAGCCTCTCAGGCAGCCAGAAGCACTCTATAAGGGAAGATGGATGACTACTTACCTCTTGGCTGGAGGTGTCTAATAGCCAGCAAGGCACTATTGAGTCAAAGGCTTAGGATGTCTTTGTGCTCCTAGAGAAGTGGCAGACTCACCACCATATGTTATTTTCAACCTCAAGTCTGTGGAATGGGGAGCCTTCACCTGCTTCTGTGTTTGGAGCTGGCCACAAGACATAGGCAAATGGATGCCAAACTCACATGTGGAAACATCAAGTTAAATTGAAAGCAGCTTAGAAATTGTGGTGTACTTACTTACCAGGCACTTGCATTGTACTCAGTCTAAAAATGCTCTGGTCCCTGAGTTTGTAGAACAATGCTGAGTAGTGAAGGCAAGCATCTTTAAGAGGATGCTTACAGCTTCTAATATTCATACTTCATTTGACTGTTGCTGGATACTTAGTCCTTGCAAACATAGTGCTTGGGCTCCTCCAAAGCTGTAAATGATCAATATATAGTTAATGTGCACTATCCTTCTCATATCTTCCTGAATCCCAGCCACCTTCTCTGTCAGACACATATTTGAGACATGGGAAATACCCTACAGCATCCTGACATTAATGCCTATTTGGATCAAATATCTGATAATATCCCCTGCTCTGAAAATGACCTTCTCTCTACTAGTCAAGATAATCTCACACTAACAACATAGGGCAATGATACATCTTCATGTATTTATTAAACCCATGTTTCATACATTTAGCTCACAGTTTGTAGATGTTTCAGTCCATCATTAACTGGCTCCAAGGCAGGGTAGCATGGTAGAGGAGAAAGACTTTATGGTGGGCAGAAGATAACAAAAGCAAGCAAGAGATAACCACAGCTCTTTCTGTCCCTGATATCTAATCCAGGCTACTTAGGGTGGGTAGCACTCACATCCTTACTCTTAATGCCTTGATCCTAGCATTGCACCATGAATCAATCCCAGTGTCACATACTCTAGATCTGACCACCTCTGAAAAAGCCCTCCTGCATGAGACTGACTGCATGAGGATTTAGGGACACATGTAGCCACAATCATAATATTATAGACAACTAAGTTAGGTAGAAATATTATAGATGGTCAAACAGTGCTAGGTCCTCAAAGGAGTCAGTACAGATACATTACAAATGTGGGTGAATGTACATTCAAGGCCAGACCTCAAGAGAAATGATAGAATGACTACAACTATATACTCCCCTAGGGATAAACAGCAGTGACTGATATTTTAAATAGGTATCCATCTCCCTTTCAGGAAAAGTTCATATTGGGTCCGTGTACACTTGCCATGTGATTGCTTCTCCATTTGATCCCCATTTAATCAATATCACCTTAGTGATTATACTCATGATCTTATTGGTTAACCATAGTTTTGTCCCACCTCATACCTGCCTTGTGATTTCCCGTTGGATCAATGTTACCCAAGTGACTATACTTGTAATCTTATTAGTTGATTATAGTTTTGTCCCACATTAACCCTGCCTCAACTGTGGTTTTGCTCTATAAAACTCCCTTGAGAAGTGTAGTTTCCAGCAACCCACTCAGGGCCCATTCTGTGTCTCACACAGAAGCTTTCTTTCTCCCAGTGAATATAGTTTTCTTTCCCCCAATAAATATTTTCTGCTCTCAACACCTTTGTTGTTCCTAGAATTCATTTTTCAATTTTAGAGATGAACTCAGCATATCGGACATCTAGCAGGCTGGCAGGTTTGTAAGTTATAATTGAGAGGTTTTACCAGCACAGAGAGAACTAAAGCAGAATAAAATGACTTTATTGTGGGCATGGAGAAGACCATAAGGAAAGAGAGAGAGACATAGAACTTCTGAGGGCTTGTCCTGTGGTCCAAAGTTAAATAGCCCCAGGCTGGGGGTGGGGTTTAGGAGGCAGACCACCTGACATGGCAGACCAGGATTGGGCAAGAGCATGGGAAAAGGAAACAAGATATTACAAAAAAGGAAAGTAGGAAGTCATAATTTGACTCAGAGGAAGAGGGGTGGGGCTTAGCACATGCCCTGTAGTGGCCAGAGCCATATTGGCTTGGTGCCATACTGGCTCAGCACCAAACCACATGACCTCCAGTGCCATATTAACTGGACACCATAGTGACTCAGCAGGAGTTACAGTGAGGTGAGAAACCATCAATAATATTTCCCTTACATTATTGGGATTATTTGGAGATCCTATATCATCCCTACATCAATAATACTGTTGTAGGCCTCTGAGTTAGACAGAAATATTATAGGCAGTCAGACAAGGTATGCCCCTGAAGGAGCCAGTATGGAAGACAAGATACCTTGGAACTGTGGGAGAGACAGGCACTTCCCCTGTGGGCCAGAGCTAAAGACAAAAGTTTAAATGAATGTACCCACATACCTTCCTAAGGATGGACATCAGGGGTGGATATTCTAAATAGGTAGCAATCACCTTGAAAAAGCCATGAAAAGTCATTAACCTAACCCCCTACAGGAAAGGCCCCTGTTCCATCAATTTTACCTGAACAATTATACTTGTAACCTTATTGGTTGACCATAGTTTTGTCCCACCTCATGGTCACCTAGCAAGTTCCCATGTTTTTCACCTTGGGCCCACCTCACTTCATGGTTTTGCTCTCTAAAAATCCCTGGAAAAGACAAGTTCCTTGGCAACTCACTCGGGCCCACTTCTGTCCCTTTCTCGGACAGAAGCTTTCTTTCTTTCAATAAATATATTCTGCTCATAACCTCCATTGTTCCTAAAATTCATTCTTTAATTTTAGAGAACACGAATTTGTCCCAGATAACTTTCAGGCTGGGAGTTCCTTCCCCTATATCAATACCATATTAATCTACATTTAGCTTTGTTTAAATAGGTCCAATTAACTCTACAACTTTATAACAAGGTATGAATAGGGACTCAGAGAAACAGCTCATATTAGTCTGCTTTTTATGCTGCTATGCAGAATACCTGAAACTAATTTATAAAGAACAGGGAATTATTTCTCACAATCCAGGTGGTTGTTACATCGTAATGGCATCACATGGAATAACAGGGAAAGAAAGGAAGGGACAAAAATGGAGGTAAAAGAATGGGAGAAAAGGGAAGGGGAGGAATATGCCTAGGGAGAAAGAAAAGTAGAGGAGGAGATGAGAGAGGAGGAAAAAGGAAAGAGAGAGAAAGGAAGGGAGGGAGAGAGACCAAACTCCTCCTTTTTCAGCACCCCACTCTCATGAAACAGCACTACAGTCCACTGAGAACCCTCAAGCCCAAATTATCTCCTGAAGATCCCACCTCCTAGCACTGTTGCAACGAGAAGTTTTGAACACATGAACTCTTATAGACACATTCAAACCACAGCAAAATTACAAATAAATCTTTAATAAAGAGTGTCAAATTATGTCTCTCTTTCCCAGCCAGTTCCTCTGGAAGATTTCCTGTATGGCGTGGTATATTGTGATTTTTCTGAAGTTCTTCAGTTTTAATGCAGCTCACATCTCATCTACAAAGACAAAGAACATTACTCTTAGCTCCTAGCATTGCTTTCAGTTTCTCTTTCTATTCCCTGGGCACTCTGAAGCACTTAAATTATAGCTGCAACAGAAATGGGACATGCTGCAGCCTCATACATTTCTATTCCTATCCCCCACTCTTGTTTCATCCCTGAATGCTTTAAATTTCAGTGATTGTAATGTAAGTTGAAATGAATGAGACCAAAATGACTCTACCATGTACATTTACATTACACAAGTATACAATTCAATCTACATAAATATACATGCATTTTTAAAAGAGAATACTAATGCATCACCGAAAGAGAATATCTCAAAAGAGTATTACAGAATAATGCACCTAATTCTATAACTAACCTCTCACAACTTAGGTATGCATGACATTAACTGAAATCATCATGGACTCTGTTTGGGGTCAGAGAGTTTCTGTAGTTTTGAAGCAGAAAGAATTATAATAGTAGGAGAACTTCTAACTATTCTCCATTAATGTTCTTATAAACTTGCATTTAGCAACCTAAGTATACCTTTTTGCTTTCAAAATGAGGCATTTGCTCTAAGAAGACTTTCAACAATTAGAAAGATTTTTTTAAATTTTTGAATATTTAGATGACTAATCTATTCACTGAAAATCATTAACAGCAATAAATCAGGTCTATGGTAGCTATGCAGTACATAGAATAAATAATCCAATGTCATCATCATCAGATTGCAGATTCACTCTAGAGATTTTAATTAAAACTAGTTCCTGTTATGGTTTGTGTCTGTGTGTCCCCCCAAAGCCTCATGCAGCCAT